CTAGGGCTGTACGGGTCGGCTGCTGGCAGCGGACCTGACACCAGGGTGCTTTCCATTTTTGTTCTGGCATCTTAATGTGTGGCTTACATTCTCTGGGTCATCTCACAGTTCCAGGTGGTTGCTGGAATTCCAGCCATCACATTTCTGGCTCAGACAGGAAGTAAGAGGAAGTGCAGGGGGCCTTTCTGGAAGTTTCACCCATTGACTTTCATTAATATGTCATGGACCTGTGGAGGTTGAGAAATATTTTTTAGCTGGACACAATGCTGCCCCAATAATATAAAAGTTCTGTTCGTCAGTTCAATAAAAGAAGACAACCCAAATTAAAAAAAAATAATAAGGGGCAAAGAGTGGTGGGAGCAGTGGAAAAATAAATAAGTGATCCTTTGCATGCAGCCATGCCTTCAGTTCACAAGTTGATGGATCGATCAGCTGACAATTCAGCTGGGAATTTATCATTATGTATTAGACCTTGCAAATGCTTTTTTCTCTATTCCAATCTTGGCTGATAGGCAAGATCAGTTTGCCTTCACCTGGAAAGGGAGGCAGTGAACCTTTCAAGTATTGCCCCAAAGTTATCTGCATAGCCCAACCATCTGTCATGGTTTAGTGGCTGGGGACTTAGCCAAGTGGACTAGGCCCAGCACGGTTACAATGTTTCACTACATTGATGATGTGTTACTAACCTCTAATTCTCTTGCAGATTTAACCCAGGCACCTCCAACGCTACTACGTCATTTGGAACAATGTGGGTGGGCCATAAACACAGCCAAAGTGCAAGGACCTGGGCTGTCAGATTCTTGGGAGTGGTCTGGTAGGGTTAGACATGAGTCATCCCAGAAGCTATTCAGATAATGTACGGTACCAATAACCCTTCTGTTTTTTCACCCATTGTGTTCTGGCTGCAGGCACCACACCAGTTTCATGATCAATGTGTTGGCCTACTGAGTGTGCACTGAACTGCCCATCAGTATGACTACAGAATTCCCATAGAAAATCACACCAATGATGACTATTAACCAGACATGTGTGACTAATAGTTGAAAGGACAGAACTACAGGACAAGCCTTAAGGCATATTGAACAGACAATAGGTTATATGACTGTAAGTGTCATTAATCTTCGCTTAAGGAACATCACAGAAGATTCTGAATGCATAGATTGTATGGCTAGGGACCCTGAAGGGGTGGATTGTGAGGAAAATAGAATGGTATAGTCAGGCCCCCTCACCTCAGGTCCAGCTGGGTGTGGTGCAGCACATCCTTTGTAAACAAGTTGTGTGGGAGTAGAGATAGTGTGCATGTGTGCCCGTGTATGTTTTTGCTTGTTGCTATTTTTGTGTGCTCTTCAGTGTGTGTGAGGACGCAGTGACTCTGAACTGCTGGTCAGCAGAGCTCGCGTCTAAAATAAGGCCTATTATTTCTTCACCCAGGCTCCAAGGACCTTTTCCTGTTACCTAGCTCATAGACTTGCATGTGAAGGGCTTGTGAATGGGCTCAAAGGGTCTGTTTGACCTAGCCCTAGCTCTACAGGTACCATTCCTGTTTTTAAAAAATCTATATCTTTATTAATAAATGAGAGTGGTACTAAGGGAGATCATGGACTTTTATGTTCTTCTCTATATACTTCTCTATTACTTGCATTTTAATTTTAGTTAAATATTACTTTTGTAATTGAAGAAGATTCTATCAAGGCCAGCCACTAGAGGAAGGATATCAAGGACATCATGGAGTATCTAGCTCTTCTAAACACAAAATAAAACTTTCAATGGCTCCCCACAGCTAGCAGGATAAAATCCAGATTCCTCAGTATGATCCAACTCTGGCTACTGCTCCTACCTCATGCCCCCCGTCCCAAGCCCCACCACACCTACTGTTCTAGCCGGCAGAACCAGCTGCTTTCCTCAGACAGGCACGAAGCTGTTCTCCTCCAGGCCTCACCACAGGTGCTTCCTCTGTCTGGAACCTCTGCCCCGAACATATGATATTATGTACATACATATACTATGAAATTACCCCCTGGCACTTAGTAAAAGCTCCATAAGTGTTTGGTATCATTATTATAACATCTGTCTCATTATATTGAATTACTTGGCTACTTACCCCTGTCATTGGATGGTAAGCCCCTTGATGATAAGGGACTATGTACTTTACTGTCCCTGAGTGCATAGCACTTAGAGCCTGGCACAGAGTAAGTGCTTAACAAAAGTATGTTAAATGATATCTCCCTAATCCTTACATCATATCTTTTCCTCCCACCTAATGTGTCTTCCTCTTCTGGGGCAAAGAAAATCACATTCTTTTCCCTTTGACTACATCACACTGCATGGATTTTTCCCTTCTCCACACTCCAAGTTTCACCTGTGTAGCACTCCTAACACCTCAGAATGCTTTTCTATTTACCTGCCCCCCCCCCTTTTTAGTGGGGATCTGAACCCTTGACCTTGGTCTTACCACCACCAGCTCTGACTGAGTGAGCTAACAGGCCAGCCACTATTTACTCTTTTTCTTCATAACCCCAGTACTGAGGAAACTGAGGCAAGGGGTGGGAAGGGGCAGGAAAATGTTTATTGAGGGTCAGCTAAATACAAGATAATTTACCTACATTATCTCTTTTAATCCTCTAACAATACTTTGAGGTAAAATTTTTTTTTGAGGTGAACATTTTAATCCCCATTTCATAAATGTGTTAATTAGACCTCAGTAAAACTATATAACCTGCTGAAGAACACATAGCTATTAAGTGGTAAAGCTGGGTTTTAAACCTGGCATCTCTGACTTTTTTTTTTTTTTTTAAAAGATGACCGGTATGGGGATCTCAACTGATGTTGTCAGCACCAGGCTCTCCCAAGTGAGCTAACCAGCCATCCCTATATAGGGATCCGAACCCATGGCCTTGGTGTCATCAGCCCCACACTCTCCCAGGTGAGCCACGGGCCGGCTCTGGCATCTCTGACTTTAAAGCCCCTGCTAGTTCCAGGAAACCAAGTGAAACAGATTTGTCTATTAACCATGTTTCTCTGAGCTGGACTGGGCAGGAGGTAGTATTTCCTGATTTCCAGCCCACCACATCTTCCATCCAACCACTAAGCATGTTATGTAAACTCTATAATGCACAATTCAACAATTAATCACATGGTACCTTACCTTGTTACCTAATTGTTTTATTTACATTAGATTCCACAACAAGGTTGGTGATATCCTCCTTTCCTCAGGCCTGGTTGCCTCTTTGAGGTAAAATTTTTTTTTGAGGTGAACATTTTAATCCCCATTTCATAAATGTGTTAATTAGACCTCAGTAAAACTATATAACCTGCTGAAGAACACATAGCTATTAAGTGGTAAAGCTGGGTTTTAAACCTGGCATCTCTGACTTTTTTTTTTTTTTTTAAAAGATGACCGGTATGGGGATCTCAACTGATGTTGTCAGCACCAGGCTCTCCCAAGTGAGCTAACCAGCCATCCCTATATAGGGATCCGAACCCATGGCCTTGGTGTCATCAGCCCCACACTCTCCCAGGTGAGCCACGGGCCGGCTCTGGCATCTCTGACTTTAAAGCCCCTGCTAGTTCCAGGAAACCAAGTGAAACAGATTTGTCTATTAACCATGTTTCTCTGAGCTGGACTGGGCAGGAGGTAGTATTTCCTGATTTCCAGCCCACCACATCTTCCATCCAACCACTAAGCATGTTATGTAAACTCTATAATGCACAATTCAACAATTAATCACATGGTACCTTACCTTGTTACCTAATTGTTTTATTTACATTAGATTCCACAACAAGGTTGGTGATATCCTCCTTTCCTCAGGCCTGGTTGCCTGGGCTTGGCTGTATCAGTTCTTGCTCATTATCCTTTTTTTTTTTTTTTTCTTTTTTTGGCGGCTGGTTGGTACAGGGATCAAACTTGGACCTTAGTGTTATCAGCACCACGCTCTGACCAACTGAGCTAACTGGCCAGACATTTGTTGATTCTTGATATGACAATGTTATTTTTTTTTCTTGTTTTTTTGTTTGTTTTGTTTTGTTTTAATATAACAATATTGGATGTATTTTAGTGGGCAAATGTTGGATTTTCTCACTTCCTGTCCTCCAAAAGGTTTGCATCAGACTAGTCCAGTATAACTCATCCTGGATCTCTGTCAATTATAGTTAAGCTTATTCTACAGATGAGAAAGTAAGTGGAGTCTTAAATAAGTTGCTAGTAAAGTGCACGTAGTAAAGTGCCAAGACTCTAACCCACGTCTTAAGATACCCAGGCCTGGGCTCCTGTTCCACCAAGCCACCTTCCAAAGGTCTACCTGAAAATAACTAATGGACGGGACCTATGGAGGGAACAAGACCCCTTAACCTTGGTATTTCTTCCTTAACCTCGCGCCGCTCCCCCGCCCCTTTTACTTCTGGGGTTGAATTTCTACTGAATTCGCAATGCTTTTGCATTGAGGATGTCCGGTTGAACAAGACCCCTTAACCTTGGTATTTCTTCCTTAACCTCGCGCCGCTCCCCCGCCCCTTTTGCTTCTGGGGTTGAATTTCTACTGAATTCGCAATGCTTTTGCATTGAGGATGTCCGGTCCCTTTAAGGTCTCGGGTGACGTAATGCTAGCCCCGCCTCCCTCCCCTCTTCCTGGCTTAGTTCTAAGCCGAATCCGCTGTCTTCTGACCTCCGCCCTTTCCGCGCCTCATCCGGGCTCCTGGGGTTGGGAAGTTGACCTGGTAACCTGTGCCCCGCCCCCGTTGCCATAACAGAAGTACACGATCCGCCCTTCCCCTTCCCCTCTTCCGAAACAATCCTGGCCTCTCAAGACTAAGACCCTCTCCAGAGCTGCTTCTAGCTGAGCAGAACCGGGGTCTGCGCCCCTTTGCGAAGGGGGATCGGGTGGGAGGGTTAGAGATGCGCGTCAGGCTGGCGTTCCAGAGGGTCCAGAGAAATAGCTAAGTGGAAAGGGCGAGTTAGAAGAAATGAATGGAGCAGGGGTTAGGGATGGGGAGGCGGGGTGGAGGAGGGCTTGGTCGGGAAAATCGGAGGAGAACGTGGCTTAACGGGGAGGTGTGAAGAACTGGAAGAGGGAGGACTAGGAAGCAGGGGGACTGGGCTGCTGGAGGAGATTTGGAGCCACTGGGAAGGGCAGGAAAGTTCTGGGGAGGCATCCTGAAGGGAGCGGGGTCTTTGGTAGAAAGTATGAAGTGGACGTTGGGAATCGGAAAGAGATGTTCACAGGGATGAGGAAAAACAGTTGGGAGATCAGGGGTGATGGGGGTGATGGTAGGGGTGCCTGTCGGTGGAGGGGAGGGAGCCGAGAGTCGGCAGAAGCTGAGGAGACCTTTCTCAGGACAGGACTGAGCTTGATCTGACCCCAGAGCCTTCAGGCGGGAAGAAAGATGTCAGATGATGATGATCCGGACTACTCTGAGCCAGACCAGGATGATCTCGAAAATGAAGATGATGAGAAGGAGACAGAGGAATGGGAAGACCACAAGAAAGAGGGAGAAGACCTCTCTGAGGAAGTGAGAGCCTGGAAAGGGAGGGGTCCTAGGGCTAAGGGATAGGGCTGGGCTGCAAAGGGGCACCTTACTCCACTTCCTCCTGCAGTGGATGCCCACGCCCCTCATGGAGGACGTGATGAAGGAAGGGCTTTCTCTGCTGTGTAAGACAGGCAATGGACTGGCTCATGCTTATGTCAAGCTGGAGGTTAAAGACAGGTGTGTTTACAGGGGCTCAGATGAGGATTTTGAAATGGTGGGGCCCCATTTCCTTTCCCACTTTCATGCCTGGGTGTTTTGGCTGAGAGTTTGGATGTTTCTCATACTGGCCTAGTGGGGAGAGAAAGACAGAATTTACTTTTCAGGAACTCTGAGATTCTTGGATCCAAGCTGACCTGGGGAATGGAGACTGCGAGTATGTGGGAGGGATTCCTGCTGGATTCCCCCACTTGTCCTTCAGAGTGTGGGTTCTCTGCCCTTCACAGACACAAGGCCTCTGCCCACTGTTAAGAACCCACCTACCTTCTCTTCCCCCTCTTCACTCCCGCATCTGTTATCCATTCTTCCCATCATAAGCCATACCCATATTGCCCTCTGCTTTAGCACCTCTGCCAGACCTTGCTGGGTTCTTAACCTTAACCCCAGTGCTTCCTTCTTCTGCCATCTCCTAGAGACCTGACAGACATCTACTTGCTGCGCTCCTACATCCATCTGCGCTATGTGGATATTTCTGAGAACCACCTGACAGACCTGTCTCCACTCAATTACCTCACTCACCTGCTCTGGCTCAAGGCTGATAGCAATTGGCTGCGGAGTGCCCGGCTAAATGAACTGCCCTACCTGCAGATTGCCAGTTTTGCCTACAACCAGATCACTGACACTGAGGGCATCTCTCATCCTCGTCTGGAAAGCCTGGATCTCAAAGGTAGGTCCTTAGGATGGGCTACAAAAGATTCTTTCCTTCCTGGCCTGGGGCTGGCAGAAGTGGGCAGGGTGGTCCAGGGCTGTGCCACACAGCCATCTGTATTCATTCATTCATTAAGACACTCATTATGATTAATTGTGATATTCATAATGATAGTGCTACATTCTTGAACAAAACAAAATCCCTATTCTCATGTAGCTTACAGTCTGGTAATTAGAACAATTAACAATGAACACAAATAAGTAAATTTATATAGTATGTTAAAAGGAGATAAGTGCTATGGAAAAAAAATAGATCAGGTTAAGGGGAATGGGGGGGCATATGTGACTCCACAGGTTGGTTAGGACAAGCGTCACTGAGAAGATGACAAACGAGCAAAGACTTGGAGGAGGAGAGGGCATTAGATATGTGGATTGCTTGGGTTCTCTTTATTCACTCCTTAAAGTCTTAGGTGGACATGTCCATCAGGTCCTTGGACTACCAGACAACTTGCCCCGGGGCCCCGGAGGTGTTAAGTCTGAAGCTGTCCCTCCTTACTATCCACCCTGGGAGATAGTGTTAGAGGGAGAGGATGATTCAGAGGCTCCCAAAATTCAGGCTCTAAGGCTGAACATTCAGATTGGCCCTTTTAACTACTGATACCCATCTCCTCCCCAGGGAACCGCATCCACATGGTGACAGGTCTGGACCCCCAAAAGCTGAACAGCCTGCATACACTGGAGCTTCGGGGGAACCAGCTGGAAAGCACCCTGGGCATCAACCTTCCTAAGCTGAAGAACCTCTACCTGGTAGCTCACTGGGGCATAAGGTGGTACAGGGAAGAAGGCACTGTCCTGGGGGTCAGGATGCCTGGTTTCTAGTAGGCTCAGCTAATAACTTCATCATAATGATACTTGATATCATTTATTGAGCCCTTACTTGGTATCAGACGCTACCAAGATGTGGAGATGCAAAGTTAAAACAGACAAGGTGTGGGGCCGGCCCGGTGGCGCACTGCTACAGTGCGCCGCTTGGGAGTGCGGGGGCGCTCCCGCCAAGGGTTCGGATCCCACATACAGACCGGTTCCCGCTCACTGGCTGAGCGAGGTGTGGGAGCAACACCGAGGGTTGTGATCCCGTTGCTGGTCCCGGTCCGGTACGGGCGCGACACTGAGGGTTGCGATCCGTTGCCGGACACGAAAAAAGACAAAAAGGAAAAAAAAAACAAAAAAAAACAGACAAGGTGCTTACCACATAGCATGGCTGTTAATACGTGATGCATGGATAATACAGAGATAATTTGCTTTGATATAGGTAGCAGCAAAATGTGCCATGACTGAGGTACAGACATCAGGCTAAGGAGGCCACTTAAATGTTTAGTCTTTCTCTTGAACTTTTTCATTCCAGGATGGTGCTGAAGCCACTTCTCAGTGGAGGAGTGGGGGATCCTGGGTCTGTGGGGGTGGCTGAAGCATCTCCTCCTTTTTTTTTTTTCTTTTTGTCTTTTTGACCGGTAACGGGATCGCAACCCTCGGTGTCGCGCCCGTACCGCAACTGGCAACGGGATCACAACCCTCCTTGTTGCGCCCGCACCGCGCTCAACCAGTGAGCGGACTGGTCTCTATATGGGATCCAAACCCTCGGCGGGAGCGCCGCCACACTCACAAGTGCTGCACTCTACCGAGTGCGCCACCAGGCCGGCCCTGAAGCATCTCCTCCTTAATGAGAGGTGGCTTTGGTGGGGTGAGGAGTAGGGGAGTACTGCTGATCTTTTTCTGAGATGGCCACTTCTCCTGGACTTTTTGACTCTATATGGATCTCTCTACCAAACCCCACTCCCCTCCTCCACCCCTTCCTCTCTACCTTTTGGATTTCCTCTTTTGCTTCATCTCTTTCTGACTTCTCTTCCATCCCTGTTCCTGCTCCCCTCTCTCAATCAATCTACCATGTCCTGGGGTCTAGGCCCAGAACATGCTGAAGAAGGTGGAAGGATTGGAGAACCTAAGCAATCTCACCACCTTGCATCTTCGAGACAACCAGATTGAAACTCTGAGTGGCTTCTCTGGGGAAATGAAATCATTGCAGTACCTTAACCTGAGGTATGCACCCCCTCCAAGTCCCACCTTGTCCCTGCCCCTACCTAGGAGCTGCTTTTGAGCCTGTGTTTCTCTCCGGCCCCAATCCCCCAATCCTAGCCCACAGCCAGATCCTCACCTCACTCTCTTTCCTGGTCCTCACTCCTGATTTCATTACTGTCTTCTACATTCAGCCCTAACTGCAACACTGAGACCTTAACACTAAGCCTGTAACCCCTGAGTCCTTATTTATTCAATCCACAATTATTGAGAATGTGCTACGTGCCAGGTCTTGTACCATGTTTTAGGAACATCTCAAGGAATCATAGGTGGTCATGGTGTGGCTCCAAGTCTCTTTCTGGCCCTATCCCACATCAGTGTCCACTGCCCTTCCCATTTCCTGCCTCTCTTCTCCTGAGCCCCACCTGTAAGTCCCTTTACTGATATAAAATATAAGACGTGCTCAGATTTGAGGACAGAAGAGTATTTGAAAGAAAATCTCCAGGTAGGAAGGCACTGGGGTTCAGGGGGCACTTTCTTTCAGCCACTCTTATCTGATGGAGGACTTTATGTGTGTTTCCTTAAGCAAAGATATAAGGAAACTTCCTCCTTCCTCAGTCAACAATACCAAATCCTCAACCTGGCAATGGAAAGAGAATCTCTAGGGAGAGGTGCTTACGCCCTGAAGCTCAGCCTTGCCCCTTATCCCTGGAGCAATCTCTTGTTAATGAGCTCTGCCACATTAATCTGGTGGGGTGTGTGTGTGGTGTGTGAATGTGCTGTTTTCTTTGTAATGGTCTAGACAGAGGTAATGGACCCTTTTTCAATGGCTATCAACTGGGGATGTTTGGAAGTAAATGTGTGTGTATGTATGTGTTATTTTAATGATTGGGAGGTGCCTCTGGGACCAGAGATGTTAAACATCCTGTAATGCACAGAACAGTTTAGTACAAAATGCCTGTAGTTGCTCCCAGTGAGAAACATTGCATGAGGGTCAGCACATCCATTGAGATCATGCCAAAACATTTAAATATGATTTCATAAAGGCTTCACAAGTACATGAAAATAAATACAAAGTATCATACAATGAGGCACATTAGGAGATGAAGCTTGTTCTTCAGGCTGGAAGTCCCCAACACATCCCCGGCCCTAGGTTCCTTCTTGTGGGGAGTACCAGCATAGCATCCACCACCCTGAACCTGTGTTTAGATCCTGGTTCCTTCTCCACTGACCGAGGTCCTATGTTCTAACCTCTGTTTAGGTGTGATTGACATAGGAAGTCTGTCCCTGCAAGGGAGGTTTGCCCCCTCCTTCCCAGCTAGCTATCGGACAGTGTTGTGGCCTAGCTTTGCCACTCCAAACGGGATAAATACAACACACTGCAGATTAGAATATGACACGTAGGGAATCCCTGAAGGGTAGAAGCAAGACAGGAGTGGGATTGGATAGCACCTCTGCAGCAAATCTGGCAAAACTTGGCAGGCCAGTCCTCATAGTGTTTCTAGGGAGACTGGAGTCTGGTGGGAGATTCCCCTGGAGGCCCCATTCCTTGCAGCTGGCAACCAAAACTCTGGTGATCTCCTGACTGCACTGGCAGGGGCAACATGGTTACCAACCTGCAGGAGCTGGCCAAGCTTCGGGATCTGCCGAAGCTGCGAGCCTTGGTGCTGCTAGACAACCCATGCACAGATGAGACTGACTACCGCCAGGAGGCCCTGGTGCAGATGGCTCACCTTGAGCGCCTGGACAAGGACTTCTATGAAGATGAGGAGCGGACTGAAGCTGATGAGATTCGTCAGAGGCTGAAGGAGGATCAGGAGCAGAAGGCTGGGACTGATCATGACCTGGAACTGGACCAGCCACCATTGATCTAGCCGTAGTTCTTCTAGCCTCCAAGGATAGTAGTAAGGAAGCCGGCAGGGAGGCAGTAAGAGGAGGCCAAGGGCTGGGCAGATAGGGGAAGAGAAGCTGCTGTACAAGGATGTGAGTGAGGAAGGGATAAGGCAAGGACAACCCTCCGAGAGACCAGGGTTAGGAGTCAGGAGGAGTCTCAGCTAGAGCAGAGAGGACCAGAGGGGCCTGTGAGGAGCTGAGAAAAGGCTTAGGAGATACATCAGGAGGCCAGGAGAGTAAGTGGAAAGAATTGGAGTGGCGGGCTGAGGAGTTGGGGGTGGCAGGCAGCCGTACCTGATACAGGGTGAGGATCAGCTAGGAGAGGACAGGTCTGGGTGCATGATGGCGGTGCGGGCAGGGAGGTGGTTGGTAGCGTATGAGGAATGCAGCTGGGCCCAAAGCAGGAGAGGAAGATCCCACACTAAAAATCTGAAGCTAAAAATAACAGGATACTAGTGGTGGGGGGAAGAAAGGAGGGCAGGGTGAGGCAGGAAGAGACCGAGGAGATGAGCCCAGGGATGTGTGGCAGCTGGGCACTTCAGATGGGGGACGAGGCTTTAATTCTGTCCTCTTCCTCCAGGAGATGAGAGACACTGGCCCCCAAGACCTGACAAGACTCTCAGTGGCAGGCCACCTGTTAATTCGTTTGTACCCCTCATCGGGAAGATGCCTCCTTTTACACCAGAGCCGGAAGTTCATCACAGCCTGAGGCTCAGGCCCTGTGACAGTCACCTGGGCAGTGTGGGGGCCGGTGGGCCTGAGCTCTCCCCGGAGCCTAGGCGGGGGGCAGCTGTCTGCGGGTGTGGGCGGGAGCCACTGGGAGGCTTGTAGGTCAGCTGGAGAGAAGAGCTGCGGGCCGGGCTGGGGTGTTAGGAGCAGCGCATTTCCGAATAAAGAGACGTTCTGATACTCTAGTGTGACGGCGTTTGTGAAACACTGCGTGTGTCGTGGGCTTCACTGGCGGTGCTGGTGTGAGGCGGCGCCCGTCATTTCCCGGTGGGTCGGGGCGTGGGCGTGAGCGCGCGTGTGCGTAAGGCCAGGTTCTGGGTCGCACGCAGCGCGTCCCCACCGCTGCCCCCCGGCCCCCCCACCCCTCATAGGTCCCCCACCCGCGCTCGTACGTGCGCCTCCGCCGGCAGCTCCTGA